GGTGCCCAGGATCCGGCGGGGTCGGACCCGTCTAGGTTAGAGTGGGGCAGGTGATGGTCCTTCCCTTGCTGAGGTGCCGGCCTCGCCTCTTGCAGCTGCCTGGAGTTCCTTCTCGTTGAGACAAGAGTTGTAGCTGAGGGAGCACAAGGGCAGAACAGACTGCTCCGAGCCACAGGAGCGGGACGGAGGGGACTGCCAGGAAGATCTTCAACCCCGCAGCGCTGCTGCTAGAGTTAGAAACCTGCTGCCTCTCCTCTCTGTTTCTTTTGACCTCCTGGAGAGGAGAGGTGAGTTGTCGTCTTTCCCTCTTGCCGTACTGTAGTAGTGGAGAAAATAGGCTAGCTTGTAAGGTGCAGAACTTGTTCAGGATGGCTTCAAGCCCCAGCTGGCTGCTTGGTTTATTTTACTTGAGAGTCAGCTCTGTGAAAAGGCCCGCTGATGGAGAAAGAGATTAGCACCGTGTTAACTGCGCGGTTCTCTCTCCTTTGCTGCAGTGCCCACTTTCACCGCTGTCTCCTGCTCTGCCTGCTCCTGCTTTCAGCATGGTAAAGAAGAATACTATCCCTGATGGGTAAGTATCCCTCACACTAAGCAAGAGGCAGGAGCAGGCACAGTCCTGCCCACAAAGAAGGGGCGCTGACTGCCCCAGGCGCTTTCTTGCCACAAGTATCTTCAGCACCTACAGCCAGGTAAGGTAGGTATCTTCTCCAAGACAGGAACAACCCAGCCCTTCATCCCCCAGGTGAGTATAATGCTCCAACCTGTCATCAGCCAAACACAGTCCCTTCTTCCTAACTTTCTTACCCCCAGGTGTATACTTACTGGGGAAATGGGAGAGTAGTCCATCCTTCTGACTGCTTAGATGTTTGATACTAGGAGTCAGGGAAGAGCTAATAAGACGGGAGCAGGTGGTTGCATGCATGTGATCAAGGCATATTTTCATGGCTTCAGGTCTGGAAACATCCTGCATTTTTGTTTTTAGCAAGAGGACAACAAAAATGTTTAATTGACAAAAATAATAATTAAAAAAAAACGCACAACACAGGCTTTCTGATGACTTGATTGGGAGTGCACAGGGAGACCACAGAATGATCTCATTTAAAACACATAGTTCTATTCTCCAGCTCTCCTAAAAAAAAAAAAAAAAAAAAAAAAAAAAAAAAAAAAAAGAGGAAATCAAAGCTTAAAAGTTTAGCCCATGTGTTACTGCTAACATCAGTACAAACCTCTTGGATAGGAGATTTTGCAGAGATACAAGGGCACACTAATGAGACAGTAACATGCAGTTTATACATTATTTGAGGAAAGGTTGACATCCTGGTTTCAGGGGGAGTGTCAAATAAGCTTAAGAACATTCTTGGGAGGAGCAATAAAATACAAAAAGCTTGATTTCCTCCAAAATATGTTGGTCTAAAAGCAATAAATAGAAAAAAAAGATGAACAAAATTTTAAAAATAACTTCAAGAAACTTTGAAGTTTTTTCATAGCTGACAAACTCGGGGATTAAAATCAGAATAAAATTTAAGAAAAGCTATTTAAGCATTTATTTCTCTGAAGTTTCTATGACATTTCAGTTAAAAGTTGGACAAAAATGAGCTAAAGCGAGTTAGGTTTGCAAGCAGTAGTGCAGAAAGCCTGAAAAAACTCCTCTCCTCCTTGTTTTCTCCATACTCGGAAATTATTACTAAAACTTTTGGAGTTGGGTGCTCATTTCTCCCTTCTTTTTCCCCCCTTGCATTTGAACTGGAGCAGCTTTCAGGCTACATGCAATTCTTCTCAGGTATGGAAGAAGCAGTGGACTGTACTTTTGGCTTCTGTGATTGGAAGCCAATACCTGTGTATCTTTCAAGGAGAGAAACATCTACTCTGGAGTAATTGGTTATAAAATTAGCGTTACCATCCAACAAAGGTCGTGATACAGAAGTGCTTTCAGCTTCTCCAGACACATACTTTTTCATGCTATTAACAAACCAGGCTAGACATCCACAGCATTGGGGTTTTGGCAGTAAACGAGTTTAAGGAATTGTCAGTCTCCCAATCTCATGCAGCAGTATGTTGATGCCATCATTGTGCTAGCACAGCATGTTGTAGTTCTTCACTGTGAATTAGTAGGAAAAAAAAAAGCAGTGACTGCTGGAAGAGGACTTACAGAAATCTCATCTTAGCCTAGGTGATCCTGCATGTGCAATTTACTGGCCCCAGAAATAGTTGTTGGCAGAAGTGAGATTGTGGTGCACTATAGTCCAGACAGTAGCGTACTGTAGAAGTACGGCCTCAATCATATCACAGTATTACAATAGCAATAAATCTAACAGTAACTGTTCTGTTTTTAATGATACTGTAAGAGAAACAGTCATAGGTAAAGTCACACTACATACAAACATTTTTTTAAGATTGTCTTCCTGATACTGCCTCAATTTTTTATAGTTCTTAACGGTTTTAATCAAAATTCCATTATGCTAATTAAAGCGATACAACAAAATTGAAGTTTCAGTTATGTTTTAAGTAGCTAGGAATAGTGCAACTAAACAAGAAATAGTGACTTTTTCTAACTGGTCAGCTAATTACTAACACCTTTTACAATACTATATCTGTAGTATAGTTAAAGTTGCCTTTAGATAAGGGTTGTGCTATAATACTGCACAACCTTGCTAAATACCAGTACTTTGAGTGTAGTTAGCACCTAAAGTAATACTAAAGTTGTATTAATAGCCAGTGTTGCCACTGGATCTGCACTGATGGTCTTGTACCTTGTTCTTCTTGGCCCACTCTTGTTCTTGTGTCCCTGTCACTCAGCCCTAGCCCTGAACGTTTGATCTGATGTTATTTGCACAGTCGTTGCTCCAGCAGTGAGAGGAGGAGGTGGACTGGAAGTACGGCTTCCTGTATTTCTTCATAGCAAAAAGCATTTCTCCCTTCTCTCAGTAATGTCTTGGAGCAGAACTAAGATGTGCAGCATCCATTGCAGCCTCAATCCTAGAAAGTAGTGCTGAAGAAGTAATTTTGTAAGGAAGTGAGACATCAGTATAAGAGAGGGATTCAAGTGACCCCTTGCATGCAGTTTCCACCATGTAGTCAAGTAGTGGTTCTTCACAGTGTCTGAAATGCTGTTGTCCTTCAGTAGTTGTATACTGTAATATTTTAGCGGAGAGCCAGCCAGTAAAAAGAGTTAAAGTTATATTAACAAACAGTCATAAAATACGATGATGTTTTTACAGATTCATACACGTTTGTGCATCAGCATCCAAAATCTTGCTATCAGTATAACTGCATAAACTCAGGTTCAGTTCTGAAAAGCATCTGCAGAGATGTCACCTTCGTGCATGTTTCCCTTAAACAGTATTAAAAAAAAATACCGGGAGTGGGATCTTTTTATTATAAGGGCAAAGCCAAATTATTTCTGCCTATGCACCGTAAACATACTTGTTTAACTGAATTGTTTCTGTGCAGACTTAAAAACGTCAGTATTTTCATTTAGACAGGAACACTGAAGTCTATGGCATAACTGATTGTGCATGTTCAAGGGTGGATGGGAGAGAAGGGTTACTGTAAGGTGTTTATTTGTAAAGTAAAAGTGCTTTGTACTACCAGACATAGAATATTTGCATTTAAAAAATGTATGATAGAGAAAAATTACTTCTTATGATACCTGAGTAATAATAATATTGCTATAAGACTTGAAGGCCCGTATTTTGTGTTACAATACACTACAACAAGTACTAAGCTATGCAATTACTTATTGACATGATAAGGAAACTTTCCTACCGTGCTTTACATCCACACTACATTTTTTATAAGCTATGACTTATTTGTATCCCACTTACAGGGGTTGAAGGAAAGCAAAGTGAGAAATCTATGTAGCAACAAGTGATTAAGAGCTATATTCCCTCCCTTCCACTTTTGACCTGTTCAGTACATGTTCTGTGTTGACAGTGTGTCATGGTCTTTGTAGGGCTATCTTTTCTTCCACAGAATAGTATTGAATCTGGTGTCCATAGAGCTATGAAAGCCACTTGGAAGATAAAGCTGTGTGTATCATGCAGAACCAGTACCTCAAAAAAAAAAGAGAAGAGGTTCCAAGTAGTATGTTTTAAATGATCTTGCTACAGCTGACAGTATTTCAGACTTGAGTTTCTCTACAGTTAAAATAATTGCCCTTTTTGTGTGTTTTGGAATTTACTTTCCCAGCTAAGTTCTAAACTTGTCTAACTGCTTCATAATTGTAGATATTCATCAGGTGCTCCAGAATTGTAGAAACTCTTGAACTGTTAAGCATAGCTTCAGATACTGCTCTCTGAACTTACTTTTCCACCCACTGTAGCTTTTGAGTAACGTATACTTGTTTACACTGTTTTTACTAACAGTGATTTTAAACGATTAGATGAAAATCATTCTGAATGGATTCCTTGAGTTCAGTACTAGTTTCTCTTACCCTGGAATACTGGACACATTGCTGAACTGGATGTTACACATGCAATTATAAGAGAGCTTACTTCTTTTTATACTTAAGGGTTTTTTCCTGTGAAAAATACCGTAATTACTCTTTAGAGGTAATACAGTATAGAGATTTTATTCTTTTTCTTTTTAGCATATGCTAATGTAAACATCAGTTTCATAGGTGATCTGAAGTGGACTTAGGCTTCAGAAAAGACCAACAAGTTCTAACTGTTTTGCCATAAAAAACTTGGTAGGGTAGGACATCTGTTGACAGTTTGTTGTGCTCTATATTTTTGTGTAATTCTGTCACTGAGATCTGACAAACTAAAGACATGAAACTTTCCAAGTATTTCCAATTCAGTGTTTCCATAGTATTGGACCTATGAATTATTTAGTAGCTTTCTTGTCTAGTGTGCCATTAAAAACATATATAATATCTTTATATGAAAATTAATACTTTTCTTTAAAAAAAAATCACAGAAGAAAATAAATAATAAGGTATAGTCGTGGCTTAACCGCAGCCGGCAATTAGGACCACGCAGCTGTTCACTCCCCTGCCACACTTGGTCGGATAGGGAGAAGAGGGAGAAAAAGGAAAAAACAAACCTCATAGTTTGAGATAAAGACAGTTTAATAGAACAGTAACAGAAGAGAAAAATAATAATGGTGAAAGAATATACCAGATAAGTGATGCAAAACAGTCGCCCACCACTTGATGATTGATTGCCCATCCCAAGCAGCTATGCTCCCTCTCAGCTTCTATGGGAACCAAAAAAAATCCTTGACTTAATACAAGCATTACTTAGCAACAATTAAAACAATATGTGTTATCAACATTTCTCTCATACTAAATCCAAAACACAGCAGCTACTAGGAAGAAAATTAACTCTGTCCCAGGTCAAACCAAGACAGGTATCCATCTGTTTAAATGATTGAGTATGAATTACATAACAGCTGCATATTTTATCTGCTTCCGTTAAAACTTCGTAGAGCCGGGTGGAACACACAGTTTTGTCATATTTTAGTTTAATATTTCTGTTAAGGTGATATAGTAGCTGTAATTTCCAGTATAATATTCTAAATTTTAGAATTGATTCATAGTAAGATTTACTTTAACAACTACAGATTATGCTCATATCAAATGAATAAAGTTTTCTTAACTAGATTTCAAAATTGTGTTGGGTAATTATATGTATTACTGATATTTACAATCTGTGCTGTGTTTTGCAGTTCATTGATACATAGCTTTGTACGTTTAAAAACTTAAGTAAACAACTTTGCTATCACTTTTTTGTTTTTTAATAGCAGGATTTATGCAAAATATAGCTAGCATAATGTTCTTTGCTTGGCTTATTGTCTTAGTATTCAACATACCTTTGAGCTTAACTAAGGAGGCTTCAGGATGAATACTAAATTTTGCCTTACTCAAATTTACTGAGCTTGTCTTTGTCTTGGGCGTTTCTCTAATGTCTTCTGTTGTCCCACTCAAAGCTGGAGGCTGCTATGCAGGCCCTGTTGATGATTCTCAGTTGATTGATCTTGGAGCTGATTGCTTTTTAAAAGCGTTTTCCTAAGTTTGTTGGTGTTTAGTTTTGGAGTTATTTTGACCTTCAACAGAGGCCGTTTCCCTGGTTGCTGCTGTTACAAAGCATATTGCTGCTAGATTCTTGGGTTAATGTAGATCCCGTATCTTGTAAACTTTTACTAGGGTGCATTAAGCTAGTTTCTTTTCTGTTGTTTTACTGAACATCTCTGAAATTTTTAAATTAAAGAAAAAGTCAATAAAATGTGCTCGCTTTTCATTTAAATTAAATGGATAAGCAGAGTAATATATTTTCATGTAAAGTAGACTTAAAACCCTCTAACAGATTAGCTGACTAGAGTCTTTAGTATCAATAATAATTGTATTTATTTATTTAACTGGAAGCTATTCAAGCATCACAGAAATTTCAGAGGGGAAGGGGAATGATTTTTTGTTTGATTAACACTTTTTCTGAACCAAGAAGTGATTCTTTTGTTGAGAACAGCAAGCAAAATTCTGCCTGTGTTTTAAGATAATTGACGGTAGTTGGGGAGTGACAAAGACAAAACATGATAAGGAACTGTGAAAGCTAAATAGTTAAATAATTGATTCTTTTATATGTTTTGTTGACTCTCAGGTCTTGATCTGCATGTAGTCTATCAATTGTTCACCTGTTTGAAAACTTAGAAAAATAAAGCTGTAATTGAAAATGTATCATGTGTGTGCAATATGTCACTTTTTATTTAAGTGCTGTTCTCTCTTAAGTACTTAATTTCAATCTGCAGTTTTTAATTTGAGATAATTTTTAGTTCTGCAGCAGTATGCTGAGATTTCCTTTTTAAATATTTTAAAGATAACATGGAACACTTCCCCTTTCCTGATTAAGAGTGCCTTCTGCTCATTTTCTACCATAGAGCTGTCAGCAGCTTTTGAGTTTCTTGCTGATTTTGCAAATTTTTTTCTGTGAGGATTTAAACGGCTTTAAAAACAGGAGAATAAAACCCCAGGTTTATTAAGGTCTGACAACAAACTATGTAATCCTCATGCATTGTTCTGTCAATCCCTTAATCTGAAAAAAAGTTTGGAATTTTTACAAAGTCTTTGTTACATTGCTAATTTAAGAAAATAAAATATTTAATCCTTTTTTAAAATTATTTCTTATTGGCTCATTGTTTGTATTTACGATAATCATGGTAGATTTCCACTCATGGTTTTCCAAGAGAAACCAGCTTTTAAAAGATCCAAATTTCTAATTAATGACATCTTTTAAATTGTCTTACTATATAAGGTAATTGGTGTTTTGTGGTTGTGATTTTTTCACTTCTGCCTTCCTACAAAATGTTGCTAAACATATATATGTGAATGTGGCTGGCTATCAGATTAAATCTTACTTTTGTAAAGCATTTTGTACATTTTCTTGGTAGAGGTAACATCGAAGAGTAATTAAACTAGGTTGAAGAGAAAATACTGTATTATTGTTTATTTCTATAACAGCATTTGTGGCACTAGTTTCTATATCTCTAGGTACAGCCCATTTTCTATTTCTATTTGGACGTTTGAGAGCAAAAGGAGGAAGACTATTTCCTTGTTTTAAATAAAGACATGTAATTTCCAGCGTTACTAAAATTAGCAAGATATGAAACCTGACTTTGTCATTAATTTTAACAGTAGTTCAGAATAAATATTTGTCTAAATATGGTTCATAGCATTTAGTACCTTTCTAAGATGAAGTGAACAAGAGAAAATTAAACCATGCACACAGATTTCAGAGTTTTTCTGTAGATTCTGTCTTTTTTTTTTTTTAACTGAGTACTTCTTGCAACTAAGATATTTAATTATGTGGTGGGTTTTTTAGCTTTGGTAATATTTTCAGTCCATTTACACTGTTGATGATCTTAATTGATTCATATACAGTTTGTTTATTTTAAACTAGGATAAATGGAACATAGTCTCAGATTTTTGTTTTCAGATTGTGCAACTGTTGTACAACTACCAGACTCCAAAGTGTACAAGCTTGAAAATTGACTTGGGAAGTCTTCTCAAGTTAGAACACTTTTTTTCGGTATTTTTCAAAAGAAAGTGCAGTCAAGAATGTTTCTTTGAAAAAAGATGCATGTTACAAAGTAAATGCATTTGCCAAATCTAGAAGCTTTGTATTTTTAATGAAAGTAAACTTTGCATTTCATTGTCAATTAAATGATTGATGTGAGCGTATGACAACTTTTTAAAGATGTTTGATTCAGCCAAGTTGAAAAATTTCCACCAACTATAATATAAGAATACTTTTTTACCTTTTTAACCTTGCCCATCTGCTTTGCTTTATATTGGTGCTACTTGTTTGTAAATGCTGTCCTACTGTTTTGAGGGGAGGAATTTTTTGGAAGTTGAAGAAGAAGAAAGGAAGAAGATGTTTTCAAATGTCCTCACGATACCTTGAAACCACTTCATAGAATAATTGCAGATTTGGGGACATAATTCTACTGTATGATAAGAGCAATCATGCATGTTATCTCTAAGAAGTATTTTCTTTGTGGTAGTGCTCTATGGAGATTAAAGATTTGTTTTATTATGGCTCCTGACTTTATACTTACAAACAATAAAAATGTTTTTATTTAAGCTGTGTAGTGTGCTAAATAAGCTTCTGCTCTGATCAGTGCTGTAGCAATATTCTGTTGATATTCTTACAGCATCTTTTAGGCAACTCCCTGTTTCTCTTATCCTAAAATAATCCTAATGTATTAGTTTTATTCCAATATATAATAAATATTTAGTTATTCTAAAAAAATTTAGTTTCTTGGTGAAACAGGCAGGTTATTAATGGAAGATGGACTTTTTAAAAGATTTCACTCACATATCAGGATTTAATGGGTCATTTTTTCAAACTCGTGGACATCAGTTACAATTTCTTGCTTATGTGTTCAAGGAATATTAGAAACTATTGGATACCGCTGTTTGGAAATCTAAATCTTAATATATTATGCTAGTAGCTGCATGGCCCGTCATAGAAAAAAAGATAACTGTCATACCTTTCTGCTTGGAGAAGTTTGAAATAACTATTATATTCAAACTGTGTGAAATATGGCACCAGATTTGCCTGATATCTGTAAGATACTTCACATAATTTGAAATAACTGTTACTATAATTTTAAAGGAACATAATTTTTATGTGCTTTGTTTTACCAAAGTTTTAATCCTAAGAGGAAATATCTTTTTTTGTTTGTTTGTTTTAGAAGTTTTACATGAAGCTGCAGGTGTCTTCTACTGAATCATGTAATTTGAAAATATTTAAAAAGAACTATTTGTTTTATTACAGATGGCGGAGTTTGACACCAGTTGGACAGCCTATACCAGGAACTAGATTTATTGCATTCAAAGTACCTTTAAAAGGGGTATGTATAACTACAGATTGGTTCTATTAGATACAGTGCAAAAGTAATGAAAAACATCATGAATATTCATGCAAACTTCAGGAAAGTTTTATGAAAACATAATTTTTCAAGTTTAGCCCTTCCAGTCATCTATTAGTGGCTTTTTTACATAATAGTCTATATTTTTTCTTTTTCTTTTAAAATTTGCATTTGGTATTACTCTTGTTATTTATCTTTTAAAAAATCATAAAATCTTGAACCAATCAGCATGATTCATTTGATCGCTATTAAGTGGCCTAAATTAATTATCTTATTTAACATCTTTTCATGGCTGTTGTAAGAAAATTATATGGAAGGGGTTATGATATGAATAACAAGGCAAAATATAATTTTATGGAAATCAAACACTCATTAAAGGATACGATCAAACACTTGTAAAGGATGGTATCCTTTACTTTTAAAAGTAAAGTACTTTTAAAAGCAGTACTTTTAAAACTATAGATTCAGATTCCCAATTTTATAAGCAAAAAGATTCAGTGATCTGAAGGAATGCAGTATGTTTAAAAAAGAAGTCTTCATAGATTTATTAATGTGTTAGTACTTCATTTAGATTCTTCTTAACGAGTTCCATCTTAATCTGTTAAGTACATTGCATCAGATCTTTTAATTTTTTGTGACAATACAAAATGCAGAGGCTGTCTTTTATAGACTCTTCAGGTTTTTTGTGGATTGAGGCATAGAGCAAATAGGGCAAATTTACCCATCTGTATGAATTAACACAAGTGCTGTATAAATTAACTCTTACAAGTCCTTGCTTCAGATACACCGGAAATAAAAGTTTCTAAGCTCTTTTAAATTTCAGTGGCTAGACATGACCTTAGCAGTTAAGAGTATTTTGTCAAAGCTGTAGTCTACAGTTTGCACTCTAGTACTCATATACCAAAAATTTGGTTATTTGGGTATATTAGTGCCTATTACATTTTCGGTGACCATTCAGTTCACTCTTATCAGCAATGACTGAAGTGGAATGCTTGCAGCATTTGCGTCCTGCAGCTGCTTTTACAGCTTTGGTGTGATGGTTTCATTCCTTTGACACCAAGAATCTTATACTTGATGTTGATCATATTCTCCATGGTACTGATGGAGAGTGCGCAGCCGTGTGTCATTCTACCAAAGACAGCCAGTGGACAGATCTAGCAGTGAATATAAAATTCAGTCGATCTATAATTAACTTCTTTGCGATGGAGATATTTGGGAGAGGATTTTTTTCATCATCAGCTCCTGTAATTCCACTTGATCCAGCACCAGTTTTTTGCATAGATGCACTGTTGTACGCAGGATTTGTTCAGTGTGTGTATTTCCAGTTCCCTGTCACTCCAGATGTCAGAGGAATATACTTTGTTGCTAACTTTACTCTTCCCCTGTAGCTCCTGCCATAGTCTGGAAGGAGCTCCTCCAGAGATCGTAAAAAGGGCAGACATTCTCAGAGAACGTTTATAGCAATATATCACAATATATCACTCCATTTCGAGTCCTACGGATCTCACTGGGCATAGATCCCTGTTCTGTGAAGCTGTCTTTGAACTTGGCCAGATATAAAGTCTGGTACCCAAGAAAGCAAAATCTGTAACATTTCTGTTCCTTCAGTTTGTTCGGTGTCAACTATGGAAGATATGGAAATGACAAGTCTTCCAGAGACTCTGTGCTTGAAGCTCGTGGTGTTTGTGGCAGAATACATATAAAATGCATAACTGGCTAAACGGTGATGTCTTTTCAAAGAAGGTAGAGGTCAGTAAATCTGTCTGGAAAAGCTGAAGGCCTGATTGGTCATAGTATTGTCAGAAGTCCTATTATTAAATTGGTGGAACAGACTACTTAAATATGTGGCAGTTTCCTTCTTTGCTACCTATTAGGAAATTGATGATTTCAAGTGAGATAAGTGCTTGCTAGAATCATAGAGTATAATCCATAAAGTCAAAAGAAGGAATGGTTAGTTACCCTATAGCATCTGTGGTTCTGAGAGGTATGGGGTCTGTGGCTGCCTTCCTTTTCGTTAGTTCTGAGTCCAGTCTGCTTGAACATCTTGTCAACAAAGGTACTGAGAGGTGGTTGAGGCTGCTGCATCTTTTGCCACTATCTTTATTGGCTGTGGCTGGGCCCGTGTCAAAAGGCTCTCACAATGGACAAGTGCACTGTTCACAGAAAATCCAGTCTTGCATATATGAGGTATTTTCATACCTAGAGCAAAGAACGCATTTCAAAAAACACGGCTACAATAGGGTGAGTAAACATTTTTCCTACTGTTTCTGTCAAATGAAATTAATTATTCATTACCCACCAACATGCAGCTTTTTTTTGTCACCGTTTTTTAGTTAAATTTAATATTCCCCAGTGCTAAATGACATGCCAAATACACTCCACCAAGAGATGAAGCAAGAATAAAAATGTCTGCACAACATCTGTGGGGAGAAAGTTAAAACTTTTAGAAGAAAGGAACTCTTGTATCACAACTTCTAATGTTTTACATGAAATACACTGTTAATTTTGTGTTACTGTGCAGGACAAAGTACACTGGGGGGAAAGGGGACTGTGGTGTTTTACTTTTTATTGATGTTTAGTTACCTAAAAATCAGTGTACATGCTGAATTTTGCAGGATTTTTGTGTCTGTCAAATTAGTGCTTATTTTAATAATGTTTGTTAACATTGTAAAAGTGGAAATTCTCACACATTTTCTTGCATTTTCATGTGACTAGAAATACACAATACATTCTTGCTTTTTATTTGGTTCCTTTTCATTTTTTCTGTATAATACATGGACATGGTTCTGATACTCTAAACATTCCCTTTTGAATACTGATGCTTCCTAGTCCTAATTAAAACGGCTGAATATTACAAATGTCATGTTATTAGAACTTAAAAAGAAAATCTTTTTTTTCCATTTTCATTGCAGGCAATTAACCAGAGGCTTACCCCAACTCAGAAATTTACACCAAAAGACTTAATTGCTGCAATGAAAGCCCTAAATGTGGAGCTTGGATTAATTATTGATTTAACATATACCACACGATACTATGAAGTTAAGGTAATATAGGAATAATAACAAAATAAATTAGTTACTGCAACCTTTGTTTTAAAGTGTTTATGTATTTGCTTACCTTGAATTGGAATAGACAAGTGAGCCATCTAGACTTATGTTGTGTTTCCAATAGAAACTAAATGCTTTATCACAGAGGAAATAACTCTTTCTTCCAGCTAGTTGCATTTGTGGCTCATTGGTATTATGATAACTCGGAGTAATGGATAAAGACTTCAGTCTTTATCCAGTCAGGCACCGCAGAAGAGATGCAGGAGGCTTACAGGCTGTGCCCTGAAGACATGTTCGTTTATTTCAAGGGTCTTTTTTTTACTGGTCTTTAGTGGAATCCACTTTTTACCAGTACGGTCCAAACAATGTGGATTAATCAGCCTCCTATTGAAAAGGAGAATAAATAGCAGTATTATAACTGAATGTTAATCTTTGAACCGACATGGGCTGTAAGCATTAAGGGAGTGAATATGTGAGTATATATATGATTGTGGGTGGGAGGGACAAATATTGCTGATAACTGTAAAATGCGTCAGAATGGAATTACAAGAATCAGACCTCTTTAGTTGATGTGCTGCCTTATTAGCAGGGATAAAGAAGTCTTCTGTTAGAACTGTTCTTTGAGATTAGGTCTTTAAAGTGGAAATATAATGGTAGTTTATGAGATTGTATCTCTATATAATTGTGTCAAGATTGTTTTCAGTTTCTACTCAGGATTTGAACTACTGTTTTACATTGGCATTATGTTAGATACTGCTTAAGGTATTTCATTGATGCAAGACTTCAATAATTTTTACCATTTTTTTTCTACTTGTTGCTAGGATTTACCTAAAAGTGTGCAGTATAAGAAACTTTATACTGTTGGACTTGAAGTCCCCGATAATGCCACTATCCTACAGTTCAAAAAATGGGTCAGAAAATTCCTATGGGAAAATGCAGGAAATGGTAAGTATCAGCATCTTATGCTGTGAAGAAACGAAAAATTTTATTTCAGTGTTAGCTGTATCATTTATTAATTTGAATAGATACGTAAGGCGCCAGGGATCTCAGACTTTCCATAGCACTTTCCACTTTGCTATCATAATACGATACATTATGTGAAGCACTATATATCTTTTTTGCGTTCATAGCATGTCTTTTTCATTAAATGCCCTTCCTAATACTTACATTTGTGTTATGTGTCAAAGCAACTGCAACAAGGCTTTCATCTGTCTGACCCAAGTTGTCTACTGTCAGTGTAGTGTTGTAGCTGCCAGCCTTTTATGAATGTTCTAAGTAGCACAGGGTTCCTCTGATGGCATTAGACACTGATACGCGTGAGCAACTTAAGTCTGTTTAGTCTGACATAGCAGTTTTTTGATTCATGAGTCCATTATTGCCCTTACATCCTAGCAATTCTTAAAAATGATATTACAGACACAGTGCCAGTGTTTCCACAGTGTGGATCTGCTGCAGTTTAGTGTTTATGCAACAGTACATTTCTTGCTGAGATAAGTCTCTTCTTACAGACATAAATTTGCACGTATTTTGCCACAGCCTGTGTGCAGCTTTTACTTTCTCACTTTTTTTGCTAGTGATTTTTTGTAAGTAGATTTTAACTATTTGTCTATCCAATATTGGAGGACCATTCTTTCAAGCTTTTTCATGCTATTTGCTGTGGTTACTTTGGCATTTTCTGAGAAGGTAGAAATATTAACTGCCCAAGTACATATAGTTTTTGCTGCAGAGCATAACCATGGTTTTGCTGTGGATGGTCAACTCTGTTTTGTGAAAGAGCTCTGACCTAAATCTCAGGTATGAGAGCCTGAATTAGAAGTGCTGGGGAAATTAAAAAGTGTAAGAAGAAGCCTTTGTACTTGCTCAGGAAGTTAGTGTATAAGTTCTTCCTTTGCTCTTTTTTGGCTTAGGGAAATTACTTGGAGATTATTAGTTCTCTGCTGGTTTTGATCTAGTGATTTTTTGTGTAACAAAGAATACTTTGTTGTTCTGATGATTAAGGTTTTTTCATCTAAAATCTAGCCCAAAACTCTTAATCATTAAATATACATTTATTCTTATGCCTCCGTTGCCCTTAAGTATTGTTGTTCTACATGCCCGTTATTATATTCAGTATCTCTGATTTGGTTTTACAGACTAAATAAGACAAGCTTCCTAGGTCCCTTCTCATTTATTTTTTTTTGTGACTATCATAGTAGCCCTTTCTATACATATTTCAATTCGATTTTTTTTTTATTTATTAAATATGAGTAATTAGAATTGTATGGAATAGTCCCAATGAGGTTTTATCAGTGCCTTGCATGACCATGTTAGTGTTTCCCTATTTCTGTTGGAAATACCTCATTTGAAACACCCTAATATTAGTAAGTTAGCCGCTTTTTAGCCTTTAGCTGATTACACAGAATCACAGAATGGTTAGGGTTGGAAGGGACCTCTGGAGATCATCTAGTCCAACCCCCCTGCCAGAGCAGGGTCACCTACAGCACGTTGCACAGGACAGAGTCCAGGTGGGTTTTGAATGTCTCCAGAGTGGGAGACTCCACCACCTCTCTGGGCAGCCTGTGCCAGTGCTCCACTACCCTCAAAGTAATGAAGTTCCTTCTCATGTTAAGATGGAACTTCCTATGTTCAAGTTTATGCCCATTACCCCTCGTCCTGTCACTGGGCACCACTGAAAAAAGACTGTTCCCATCCCCCTGGCATCCTCCCGTTAAGTATTTGTAAGTATTAATAAGATCCCCCCTCAATCTTCTTTTCTCTAGACTAAAGAGACCCAAGTCCCTCAGCCTTTCTCCATAGGAGAGATGTTCCAATCCCCTAATCATCTTCGTTGCCCTTTGCTGGACCCTCTCCAGCAGTTCCCTGTCCTTCTTGAACTGGGGAGCCCAGACCTGGATGCAGTACTCCAGATGTGGCCTCACCAGGGCAGAGTAGAGGGGGAGGATGACCTCCCTCGACCTGCCCACCACACTCTTCTTGATGCACCCCAGGATGCCATTCGCCTTCTTGGCCGCCAGGGCACATTGCTGGCTCATGGTCATCCTGTTGTCCACCAGGACTCCCAGGTCCCTCTCCACAGAGCTGCTCTCCAGGAGGTCAGCCCCCAACCTGTACTGGTGCATGGGGTTATTCCTCCCCAGATGCAGCACCCTACACTTGCCCTTGTTGAATTTCATCAGGTTTCTCTCTGCCCAAATCTCTCTGATTAGTATAACCTTTCCAAAAAAGACATGATTTCTTTAGAGATTACTGGTTCCCATTAGAGTGCTTCTTTTCTCCATGCATGAAACTAAATTCCTCATGTCTGTGGTTCATCCCAGTAATGATCCAAATTTTTAGTTCAGTTAAATTAATTCTTCTAGTAATGCATTTCATGCTCCTAGACACTAAGGGTATTATGCTTATTTTCTCCTTTCTGTAAGTTTTAAGAGAATCTGTAAGTTAGGTTCCTCAATTTTACATTTGCTTGCTTAAATTTGCTTTCAAAACCATACCTCCTTCTTCTGTTACTGCAGTTCTGGCTGAGGCCAGCCACTTTACCTGTCATCACTCCTCTTTCTTTTTTCCTATGTTCTGCAGAGTTAATCTCAGTCTTCACAGGTTTGGAAGTAGTGAACTAACTGCTGCCAGACATCCTACATGAAGAGGACAAAGTCTGGATGTGTCTGTTCTTTTACAGACATGACAGTATAATTTTGTAAATAGCAAGCATTATTTATCATTACTTTGCTAGAAAACTACAGCTTTTGTCTTGCACTAATCTTTTAGTAATTACACTTTCTGAACTATTAAAGACTATGTTTTCCTTTTTCATAGAGAAACTCATTGGCGTTCACTGTACTAATGGAATTAATAGAACTGGCTACCTTATATGTAGGTAAGGGTTGTATGCATTCAGAAATCATTGTTCACAAAAGATAGTGTCCTTGTATTAATCTGTAATCCCTTTGGGACCATAATCTAATCATATTTTTCTTCAGATATCTTATAGATGTTGAAGGCTGGGATCCAGAGGCAGCAATCCAAGGTATTTATACAATTTGGACTGAGGCACATGTTGGGTTGTAATTCACAAATACTACAATTGTATTCACAAATACTACAATTCTATTTTAGTATCCTTAGAGTTATCTCATGTGCTGGCTTCCACAGAAGATTTTCTCTGACTGTTGATTCTATTCCAGGCAAGGCTTGAGCATTAACAAATTGACAGCATGGTAGGAGAATGTTTCAGATGCTTAAAATCTTTTTTTTGCCTTTTGCTTTGAAGGGTTTTCAGTCATAGGTTGCTACCACTAGTAGTTTCAGTTGTCTAAAAAAAGAAAAGCTGCAATATTGCCAGCTTGCTGAAGTATTTAATAGCAAGTTAGAATTATTTCAAAGTCAGCATCTTGTGGTGAACAGAAACTTGCCTTTCACATTTTTGTGGCTCAGTTTGAGCACATTTCATTAGACTTGTATCATCTTTTCTTTAGCTTTTGGTGATGCTAGAGGTCATCGCATGGATGGTCTTGTGTACCTCACAGATCTCAGAACACAGCCAATGAGAAGGTAAAAAAAGGCTTTTAGTTGTACGGTTATGATTTTCCAGTATGTCTACTGGTATTTTGAAAAGTTCACTTCAAGTCATAAGCCACAATTAACCCCCTCTTAAGCCTTTAATATGCAATTACATATATATCATAAGACATGTGATACAAATAACATGAAGCGCAGTGTAATTTCTTCTTTCATCTTTTGAATTTATATGGTTCAAAAGATTTTTTTTTTAATCTGACCTACTATTGAGCATTGGTGTGGTTTTATCATATTATGACAAGTGTATTGAGTCTGTATTCTCTCATAAGCTGAAAGGAGCCATTGCGAAGATTTCTTTATAAGCTCTATGATCTGCCTGCTGTTGTTGGCATGTTAGAACCAGATACTTTAAAAAAAAGTACAACAGTTTGAGGAATAAAAAAGTGTAGGGGAGTGGAAGATTGTTCTTAACTCCTCTGTTCATAGTAGTTGTATCCCTGGTGTGTAAGAATTTTATGCTTATCATATTCACCTAAGAATAGCTAACCTTTACATCTTCCTCAGTTACTTGTGCCAATGATATCTTGTAGCAGTAAATTTATTTTAAAATAATACCTGACTGATCTGTGACTTTTTAGTTTAATTGAATGCCCTTTGGTTTACTGCTCTCACTCTTTTATGGTCAGTGCATGACTAACTTAGTCCTGTGTCAGATTTTTGAATAGGTATGGTGCTTGTCTCACATCCTTTAGGATGTTGTTCTGCACTTAGAAAGTTTAGGTATTCTCTGTGCTTTCCCTGCAGCCCTTCCCCAGATAAATTTCTAAGATTAAAATTTGCGAAGTTATAAATGTCTGTAAATTTAACTTGACATACAAAACTTTCTGTCATTCTAAACTGAAGAATTTTTTGTGGGTTCATTTCCTCTCTCAATGGTGTGTTTTAAAAAAAGAAAGCTTATGTGACATATTTTTATTCTTCTTAGTAACCTTGGAATGGATGTATGGGATTCAGATGAAGATATTATTCCCCCACCACATGCAATGGAAGGACCTGCAGAGCGGCTCCCAAATGAAGATTTTCAGGGGTAATAGGCTGAAACATGGAACTAAAAGTCAAAAAAACACGCCATGGGAAAGATAATTGTTTCTTAATATAAACATAAAATACCATAGATACTCTAATTTAAAAGAAATTTTATGAATATAGCCTACTCATGCAAAATATATTTACATAATTTGACAAAACAGTGAAAAGATAAGGGAAGGAAAGAGAATGTGTGCTATTAGAAGTCTGTAAGTAATTAGTACACTTGGAAAAATTTAGGGTTTTATTTTGGCAGTCCTTCTTTCTTATTCTGCAATTATTTTTAATTAATTTGGAATCACTGCTTTTGCCTGTTTAACAAGTGCTATGGAATTACAATTGGGTGTCACAGCTTCTACTATGACATTGAAAGTTTTACAATCTTCCTTATAGTTTGGATTCTTAGTAGCTTTGATACCTATATATTTGCAATGTCTTTCATATGAATTCTTAGTTAAAAAAACTTGTTTTCATTAATGACTTGTAGCACTTAGAAGTATAATGTTCTAATTAAGACAAAAACTTCTTTACAGGTCTGGGAAAAGATTAAGAATTTATGATGACCACTCTCACAATGATTTGCAAGGACAGATGCAGTTGAGAGATTTTGATTTCATTAATAAGAGACCTGGACAAAGACGAAGACCATTTCATGACCATCAGACTCAGGATGATTTAAGAGCACCAATGCAGATGAGAAATTGGGACTACAATAGGGGACCAGGACAGAGACGAAGACCCTTTCCTGATCATCAGTTTTATGATGATTATCAAGAAGATGTGCAGCTGAAGGACCTAGACTTCAGTAACAAGGGACCTGGACAAAGGTTGAGACCTTTTCACGGACACCAGTTTCATGATGATTTACAGGCAGAGAGACAATCGAGGGGCATCAAATTTAACAGAGGCTGTGGACAAAGGCAGAGATCTTTCGCTGACCATCCACCTCATGATGATTTGCAGGAAGACAGGCAGTCAAAGGATTTTGATTTTGGTAGCAGGGGCCGTGGCCAGAGACGAAGACCGTTCCATGACCACCAATCTCATGATGAATTTCAGGCTCAGATGCAGTTGAAGGAGTTAGATTGTGTCAACAAAGGTCCTGGCCAAAGACTAAGATCTTTCCATGACTATCAGTCACATGATGACTTACAGCCACAGATGCAATTGGGAGACTTTGAATTTGTTAATAGGGGTCGTGGGCACAGGTTGAGACCTTTCAATGATCACCAGCCTCACAGTGACTTACAAACAGAAATGCAACTAAAAGATTATGATAATAAAGGTCCTGGACAAAGGCGGAGACCTTTTCATGACCATCAGCCTTATGATGACTTACAGGAACAGACTCAGTTAAAAGATTTCGATTATGTTAATAAAGGGCATGGACAAAGGCCAAAACTTTTTCATGATCATCCAGGTCACGATGACTTGCCACGTGATTGGTGTTCAGACAGGTAAAGCATCCTTGAGCTGCAAGACCATAATTAGAGAATAAAAGTGTAAACCTCAGCACTTTTAAATTACATTTCAAATTAATTAATTTTTAAAATAAATTCATTGGAAAACAATTAATCATCCTTTTAAAATCATATATAAATGATCGCTTAATTAACTCTTTTTATTTTGACCTATGGAAGGGTTTGATGTAAGCTAGAGTGTTGCAACTTTGAAAGCTAATGTTTCCTCAATTAGAAGGTTGTGCTTCTTTAAAGCTTATGTGTTTCCTTTACCTTTTTAGAGTCAGCTTGAAACAAAACTCTTTGTTCCACTTCGTTTTGTGTAGAAACTCACATTTAAAGAGCAATCCTCAAGACAGAAGAGGATATGAAATTTTATTTATGCCCTCAGCCAGAGATAAACAGTAATGCTACAAGAAAGTTTGACTTGCATTTGTTTATTCCATGAGTTAATAATTTGTTAGAAATCCCTTTGCTTCTGAACTTGCATCATATTCTCTCAAATACGTATATCACTTATTATTAAACCTATTGGATTCTGACATAATATTTCAAAATATTTTTAATATTTCAGAATGTATTTCAGATATTTGCTGGGCTAGTAAAGTTTGATTTAATTTCTTCCTTTGTACAGCTGAAACGGAGGATATCATTACAATGAAGTATACTATTTTGAGGTGTCAAATCAATACAATTAAGATAGTTTTCATTAAAATATTAAGTAAATTTTAATCAAAAGTAAAAAGATTTTTATTTCATTTGATAAAAATATATTTTTCAAAAGCTTACAACCATTGGTACTCTTCTTAGGATGCAATTCTTGTGGTTATTTGCAGAAGTCAATCTTTTTCTTCCCATGAAAATGTACCAGAACCTCATTTCTCCTCATCTCCTTCACTTCACAGAGATTATGGGTCTGATAATGATGACTTTAACAGAAGTTATAGGTAAATACCAGATTTCATATGTTGTTTTCTGATTTACCTTTATACTGTTACTCCCCCAGTTTACCAGCTAAAAAATACAAATTAATTGTTCAGTGTAAAAATTTATATTAATATTTTTGCTTAAATGCAGTTTGAACCGTTGAATCTGAATACTGAACAAATTATGTGACTAATTTGTGGTCCATCTATACTGAGTTTGAGTGTTACTAGGGAATGGTTTGAGAATCCCTGAAGTTAAGTCATTGACATGACAAGCACAGTTCAAGCTAACATACTACAAAATATGAAAAGGTATTGTCAGGAAGCAAAAAACCAATATACAGATGTTATATTTAACTCTTAACTGCTGCCTACAAAAGAGTTTTACTGTGAGGGATGGTCAGACACTGAAACAGGTTACCCAGAGCAGCTGTAACATCCTCATCCTTCGAGGTATTTAGAACTCCCCTGAACATGTCCCCTACGCAAACTCATCTAATTAGACTTACTTTGAGCAGGTGGCCCTAGGTACTTCTAGAGATCCTTCCCAGTCTAAATTAAGCTATGGTTGAGTGAGGGAGAAGATTTTAAAATTACAAAGATTATTCTGAATTGGCTTTGCACACCACTTATTTTACAAAGTGAGGAAGGTACTTGAGAGTAAAGAGAATCCAAAACAAAACGTATCTATATCGTATATGCATTTTTAGATCTTTCGTATGTATTTTGTAGGAGAGTGAATCTTCTATTGCAGAATAATTAAGAATTAAAATATTTGGAGCTATAAATCCAAAGTATATTATTGCCTGTTGAGACTATGTACTAGAGAGCTACTACTACATATTATTCACAAAAATGAAACATGGACTTAGGAACAAAAATGGCCCCTAGGTAAAGAAACCCTCAGTAAACAGGGAATTTTAATTAGAAACAGCTCTTGAAACAAATCATCTTCTAGTAGAATTACTTAAGAGCTTTAATATTAATCACTAGAATTGAAAAATGAATATAAACAAGTTTGCAACATGCAGTAGAGAGGATTTTAAATTTAGGAGATAAAAGCAAGAAAGAGGGTCTGAATTGTTCTTTCAAGGTTACACAAGTTTAATTTCTAATGGTGGCCAACAACAACAACAAATCAACTGTTTTATTTCTAAGGATTTCACTGTTCATATTTGTTGTTCTTACAGTAATCGACCAAGTTGTCCTGAAGACAATAGGAGAATGCATCCCTCAGATGAATTTAATAGAGGAAAAAACAGATATGCACCATATTCTTCACGAACAATGCATCCATCTTCATCTGTACACCAAGAAAATAGTTCAATAGACTATGAAAGAAAACCTTTTCAAGGTGAAACTACCAGAGAGATGGAACAAAGCAAAAGATTACCAGTTGTAACAGTTGATTACAATTACGGTCTGCCATTAGAGTATGGACCTGAAGAGGAAGAGAGAACACATTATGATTTACCTCCAAGAGACCGCTACAACTGGAACTGAATAAAAAGGACAATGTTTGCTCAGCTTAGACTTACTTCTACCCATTTTACTTTGTATGTGGACCAATTATTTTTTTTTTAACAAATTAGGAGAATGCAAATTTCAGTAGTAGAGAACTGGTTCTTTAAATTTATTAGGGTGTATTTGTTAAGTGTAGTTGGAGACAAGGTCTCAGTACACATGGAATTAAAGTAGTCCTTCCTTTTAGTGAAATTGGAACCCTGTACCTTAAAACAAACAACTTTCTGAGTGATTGTAGTTGTGTCTTTTGTTTTACATTTCTTTAAAATGTATGTAATTTCTGGATGCAAAAGTCATAATAAAATACTGCACTACCAGGTAAACCAGCATTGAGATTATAGGGAAAAAAAAAATGAAATGAGTGAAGCAAAGTTATGTCCACTTCATCCTTTAATTTGAAAATAGCAGTTTGAATTATTGCTAACAATCTGCAGCATTGCAGTTTAATTCCAGATTTTCTGTACCATCAACTGAACTGACCTAGTTGCACTCTTTTTTCGTAGCAGAATTTTTCCCAGATTGCTAAGAACACAGAAGCAAATGGAGTTTGAATACTCTAAACGTCAAACTTGCTTTTCAGTAATCTGAATAGCCCATCCTGATTGTGTATTTTTTCCTGATCCCATAGGTTATATATATTTCAGAATAGCCCAGTGCAGGTAAATTTCAGAATTTTCTCAGCAACGCATCCAAATGAGGTAGCTCATGTATCATCAGCTTACCTGTCTCAGCTGGCCAAGATCACTGGTGCCTATATAGTTACACCTCCCTGTTTGTCAGTCATTTTTGTCCAGTTCTATTTTTTTACTAGTTTCTTTTTACAGCACAGCAGAGTAATGTAATTGGAACAGAAGAATAACCTCTTCAGGTTGAAGTTACTTTTAAGAGTCACGTATTGGACAGTCTTCTCCAAACTGCCACTTCAGGGGGTCTCAAGAAGGTAGTGCAACAAACGGTAACTAAATTCATGCCAGCAGCTGCACAGTAGCACCAACAGCTCATACTGTGGATAAAGAAATCTTAGTTCATAGGATGGAAAGCAGTATTAATGTAATACTTGGGTAAATTAAAAAGTAAATTTTTATCTTAAAAAATTAAAAAGTAATAATGATTTTTCATCATTATTAAATGTTCATAAATTAATATTTTTAAAAGGCATCACAATGAATAAGGGTAAAGCTAGACCATGATATTAAAATAAACAATTAAAATGAATGCTGGATACTTAAGTCATGCAGCTAAGAAACTGCCTCAAAAGCGGCATAGCTGTAAAGCATAAAGCAAGAGGGTGTAGATATACACTAGAAAACTGTAAAAAAAAAAAAAAAAAAAAAAAAAAAAAAAAAAAAAAAAGAATGTTCATAGCCAGAACCCACAGAGCTTTTTTGCCTTTTAACTAGCAGCATAAACCACAGATTTCTGAATTCATGGTTCTATAGCTACTAAATAAGGACTAGATTTGAAAAGTGTGGAACACCTGGCAGCTCCTGTTGTTTTTTAACACATGCAAAAAGTTCCCAAAATCAAAGGGTTCTGTGGATATAAATTTAAACCGCAAAAGCTTCATTGCCTTTGCAACTGGTAGAACAACTTCGGCTTTGTTCGTTGTACAAAGTAAATAGTTTCCTCATTTTCACAGCAGCTAGTCAATTGTATTTCCCATTAAATCTCTGATTGTGAGCCTCGCTCATGTGGTCTCAGGAATGAAGCTCTCCATATATAAACTGGTCGTGGAACTGAGCACTACATGTTAAGAAAAAAACATTTGTTCCTTCACTTGCTTTTTTTTTTTTTTTTTTTTTTTCCCAGATGAAGGGTAAGCTGAGAATCTTTATCTAGGCTTCTTTATTTGGAGGCGAGGAAGATCTGCACCATGGGCTTCTATTGGCAGATTCTTTAAATAAAAAAAACAAACAACCACACAACAAAAAAAACCTTCCTGGTATTCTCCAGCAGGGAGCTGAGAATTTCTCAGCAACGCATCCAAATGAGGTAGCTCATGTTGCTCTGGTATTGCAAGCATTTGGGGTGGGTTTCTTATTCTATGTCTGCAGTATTCATAAAGGGAATAAAAAGCAAACATTTTCCCTTCATATTTTTGTTTTGGGGTTTGAATTATGTTTTTTATGATTGAAGTGAGCCTCCAGTGAATCCTTTGTTAGTTCAGACTGGGGGTGCTAAGACTCCACAGAGAGCTGAAAAGCTGGTGCACTGGAAAGTTCAGTGCAAAGAGAAAGGGGGCATAAAGACTTAAGATCAGCACTAGCTGTTACCAGTCCTTGGGCAGCTCCTGCGGGACCCTTTGAGGGTTTAGATACAAACAGAGATGGTATCATTCCTGTTATCTGACAAAATAAACATCACTTTCATAAATATGTTGGATTTCTCTTTTCAAACAAAATTAATAGACGCTATGTTTCCACAAATGGCTTTGAGGTCACTATATGAAAATAACCAAAATTGGGTCTGTATATATTTTATTTTATTTAGAATTTAGGATAAGGCTTTCTGTCCTATTGTTCCTAGTGGAATTAGGCAGAGCTAAGCCCACATAATACATTACAAACTGTTACTGACATTTATCCCAAATTCCACTGCTGAGTCATCACTGCATATTCGCATCTGTAGTATTCAATTACTAATTGATCCACATGAAATTAAATGAAATAAAATGCTTTTTGTTTTTTAACTGAATATTGTATTACAGTGGCACTCAAAAAAAAAATCACACAAAAAAACCCTCAACACTTGTATTTATTTTACAGTTCTACAAAAATGTCATAAAATCTTGCTAGCCTCTTTTGTGTGTGTTCTCAGCAAACATAGAAATAGCTGCTGTTCTATCACAGAGCAATAAAAGCAAGACTTGGATGGACAGTGTTGTTTTCCCGCTGCCCTGAGTGTGACATCGTGAAGAAGAACATGGATACAGAAAATCCAGAGGTAGCACAAATTATTTGAAGGAGTTGTAAGGGTTTTAATATCTGTAACTATCGAACTCTGAACTCACAGAAAACATATTTTTCTGTTGCTGTCCTGAAGTTACAATTTAATTGCAGGGTGATTTTTATCGGGTGGTGAAGCCATGGGGCCAGCTCACCCTGATGTATGATCACACTGAGTTAGGAAAGGTTCAGGTGGTTCCTAGAAAGTGCTGGGAGAAAGTTCGGATGAGCTCTGTGCAGAAGGCTGTCTCCCAGGAAGGGCTTGGGAAAAAGAGAGATCAGCGCCAGCGGAAAAGTAGAACGACTAAATTTATACGTAGGGGATATGACTAAGTTTATACGTAGAAATCTGCAGTACATGTACAGCTAATTTAGTTTTGCGTGTGAAGAATAAAGTTATCTAAAAAAGCACTAGAAAGGTTTGCACGTGACTCTCTCAGCTGGGGCAAAAGGTGAATGACCTACAAGGAGCCACAAGTAAAATTAGGATCCTTTCCTGTTTATTTGCATCTAAAGTAGCTGCTAGCAAGCTGCAGGCTTTTTTTCATGTGCGAAAGTGATCAGTGACGTGTTACGATTCAAATTTGGGGTGCACTACTACAACCAGCAGGCCAGGATCAGTGGTTAAATGACCTGAGCACCAACTTCTGAAGATCTGTTCCTTCTTAAGGTGTCTCACAGGAGGCATCCAGAAATGCAGCCACCCAAAGCTCGTTTGTGGTTTAGAATGTATTCCCTGTCTGGTTTCAGCAAACAGATATGAATCCATGGCCGCTGTGAACAGCGGTTTATTTAAAACGTGTGTGCAAACAAAAAGCAATAGCTTCCATGCTGTTACTAACCACTGGTGTTTGCTTTCTCTCCAGGCTGACTCTTACTTGCTCCAGTTGTCAGCAGACCATGCTTTGCTGGTTCCAGTGGACAGCAATTACTAAATCTGCAGGTCCCTTTCTTCTTCTGGTGGGGAGTCAGAAAAAACAGATGACAAAAAGGAAACGGGTGAGGAGGCAACCTGGTTCTCCTTCCTCCTCAGGTGAGAAGACAATGGGACGGGTGGAGGGACAGGAAAAAAAATAAATATGTGAAAAGTGAAAAAAGAAGAGAGGAGGGAAAATGCAAATGAAAATGTCAGGGGGAGAAAGTCATCAGTGTAAGGGAAGAAATGTGCAGGAGATCTATGTGTAAAAAGCTGGTGAAAGATTACTGGATATAAAAAGAGGCCGCATGCTGGAGAAGGAGTTCCTGGCAACTTCTTATCTGGGTCTCCGAAGCTGTGCCTGTGGCTCTGTGTGAGTGCCATGCTGATGTAAATAACAGTTATCAAAAAAATACAGGAGCACTCAGACCTCTAATCCTGCAATAAAGTCATGTGGGAGCTTAAAACTAATTAAGGCTTCCCTTTAAGCTTTAAATCTAGTCTATGTGTAGTATAATATCCTGAAGATATTCCCCCCAGAATCCTGTGAGAATTTCAGACAATCAAGTAAGAAACTGCTCCACAAATCTGTTTCACCCATTGAAAACAAGCTAGGTTTTTACTGGGTATCAGGAATCCCATCATTTGAGGAATCTGAGAATCAAAGCCAATTTGTTCATTACAAATACATACCTGTCTTATTGCAGACTTTCAGGACAGTATCAAAACACACTAAAATGTTGCTTTGACCCTACCGATCACACAAAACATACAGTTATGAATTAAAGGGTAGTGGAGCACTGGAACAGGCTGCCCAGAGAGGTTGTGGAGTCTCCCGCTCTGGAGACATTCAAAACCCGCCTGGACGCTGTCCTGTGCAACTGCTGCAGGTGACCCTGCTCTGGCAGGGGGGTTGGACTAGATGATCTCCAGAGGTCCCTTCCAACCCTGACCATTCTGTGATTCTGTGATTCTGTGAAAGTGTAACAAACAAATCTGCAGTAACTACCTCTATAAGAAGTACAACAAGCAAGTCAAAGCAGAGTCATACTGAAAGCATTTTCTTCCTTTACGAGGAACATTCAGGACTGAATGTTCCACAAAGATGAAAGAGTCACCAAGACATATAAACTTAAAAGTTGACACAGATGAGGATGATCCTTACGCAGTTCTTCAAAGGACCTCTTCTAACATAAACAGAGAGTTTTACCTTGCACCTTATAATACCAAACAAAAGTCTATGCAGCAAAATCAACCCGTTAAGGAGAAATAAAGAGAGTACAAGCTATTGTTGGTATCTGTTAATCACCTCTCAAATCCATCTTTGGGATGCACATAGTAAATAGAAGGAAGAAAGTATAACCTGGCATTGCAAAGTGAATGGTACAGCTGATTCATTCTTGTCTGCACACCCCAGATGAAAAATGAGACCACCATATCCTGGTATCTACATCATGTTGGAGGTATTTAATAGCCATTCTGGCACATGGTGAATGGTAAATTCTGATTTTCAAAACTTACACACCAGAAGTCTTAAATAGGCCTAAAGTATATTCTGAAAAGCAGTGTTTACAAATTAAAAGAAAAACTTTGTTTTCTGTCATGTAATATGCTAGTTATAATAAAGTATATGGAGAGCAAAGGATATGTTCACCCAACTTGTTTTTAAATCTAATTTAAACTCATTAACTGTAGCAGAACTTGTGATAATGGCCACAGATTAGCCTTCTTTTCTATCTTTCAAAAGCAACAGCTTTTGGAAAGAGCTGGACTAGATGTGAAACCTCTGGCCCTGTTTATTCAGCATTATAGTGTGTTTCTGAATCCTTATGTCCCTGATGACAGAGGTGCTTTTCTATTTATGCTCTTTGTATTCAGTTTGTGCACACTGGAATTATATGCACTCTTTTTTTTTTTTTTTTACTGCACAGGCTAATGTCCCTCTTGCCTTAGCTCAGAAAAAGAGAACAATCTGACTACTGAAATTAAATAAAGAAAAAAAAAACAAACTTACAGCCACAAAGGCTTAAATAACAGAAGAACTTAATAAAAGGTCTCTACTTGTTTCTCTCATGTTATTTTCATGTTGTGTTTTTCCACAGGCCTATGCAGAAAGATCTGCAGATTTATAGGAAGAGTTTGACCTCATTATTTCCATTTCTCTTTGTCTCTAGCTGTGGCTCATTTTGCCTATTACCTTGATCCAAAAAAGCTCACTAATATACTTGACAGCAGCTTTTCTCCTTTTCAGTCATCTTTCTGGATATGAAATATTAAATTCATTTTAATATATGTATGTGTACCTATGCATAAATGTATGCATTATAAACATATATATAAATTTCTGTACCTAAATGGAGATCTCTGCTCTCCTAAATGTCAGTGAGAGATCAGGTATAAAGATGCAATTGTCCATGTGAGTTACTATTGTTAATCTCCTAATACTTCAGAGTTCATAAGCTACATTTAGTGAATGTACATATACTTTAGTCACTTTCTTGACACAGGAATTGGTGTAGTTACTAATAACACCCTGCAGAGAGAGGTGAAAAGAGGGAGGATTTAAATGTAGACATAAAAGTTTGTTTGCAAAAAAGAACAACTATATCAAATTGATAGATTATACCATTTCCTACAAAACATGCCACAAGAACAATAGACTACCCAAATTATTAAATATTTATTTAAATCAGGAGCATGGATAATAGCTAGACAAAACTAAGAACTTCCAGTTTTTATACATAAAGCGTGTCCAAAGAATATCGCTAATTTAAGTCTTCGTCTGTTATAAAATAGGGTGGAAAGTAGAGCTGAGTTAGGAAATGAGAAATCTGAGATCATGGAACTAAATGCTGGAGAAATTACAGACCATGGTTAACAAAAACAAGGTTGTTGTACAGCCTTGTACAACAGGGTTGATCGGTTGTACAGAATATCTGTTTATAATGGAGATAATGGGATGGGCAAGGAGCACCACTTCTGAACAAGTCCAAGCAATCTCATGAGATAAAATCCCTGGGAACAGAAGACCACAAAAGAGAATCACAAGTTTTCTCTCTCTGTTTGTCACATCAGGAGCCTCTCATTCAGGAAAATTGTCCTGAATGTACAACGTTAAATATGATCAGAGGTAATGAAATGTAATGAGATAATTATACAGCATTGGTGATATTTGGAACCTTTTAGATGTTGGTGATTTTCACTAACTGATTGTTATTACAATCCTGTTTGATGTTGAGAAATTGGAGCCCGTCAAACTCTTTTCTCAAATTTTGCTAATCTGTGTTGTGGGTGGCAGTGACTTCACCCTGATTTGTCTCTCAGAATACAGCACTTCATTGGTATCTCTGAGGTGCTATTTGGACTACAAGAGCTATCCGTCAGCATCCAGCCTCCAGCCACCACCGCTTATGGTGAAGAACTTAAAAGGAAGACCATGTACAAGTTGCCACTTTTTAAGGAGGCTTTCAAGGTTACACAGCTAGTCAAAAATTTCCTTGGAGTTTAAATGAGACAAAAGCATGACAGTCAGCATGGAAACTAGTGAAGCTTAGATTATAAAAAAAATACACCTTTAAATAAAAAAAAATAAGCAGACTAGCAAGAAAAAGTATTAATTAGCAAGAAATAAGAGATTATTCAAGGAAAAAGATATCTTTCAGCAATCAGAAATCTGATCTTAGTGACACCAGTAAAAAAGGGCCTAACCTAAAGAGATAAAATGGAAAATGAAAAACTAGGAATGTTAAATAATACTTGAAGAAGAGACAGGTAAAGATATAAAAATAAAAAAGAATTTTAAAGTATCTTAGAAATAGCCTACAAGACAACTGGTTAGTTTGCAGACCTCAGGACAGAAAGCATCATGAAGAAATACATGTTGCAAAAAACTTGCATAATTTACCTGCATAAGATCATAATACATAAATTTATCTCAGAGCAATTTTCCCCAGATAATCAAAATAATGATAGTGATTAAGACACCAGCAGAGAAGATGTCTGAACAAACTGCTAGGCAGGGACAAGCTTCTAAGACTAGCTTCTCTTCAGACAAGATTTCCAAGGGAATTTAGAAATCGAGTAAGACAGCCATTAAAATACATGCAAACTATTATGAAAACAATCTTTTTTTACCAGACTAGGAGCTATCAAATGTTGCACCTACAGTTACAGAGAGGCTGGTGTGATCCCAAGCAATAAGGATCTACAAACCTTCTGGACATGAAAAACTAACTGAAAAAATAAAACTAGAAGACGTAGAAGATTATGGTATGTCAGGTCTAATCAGGAGGGATTCCACCAGGAAATCTGTGCCTCTGTCATCCGCTATTTGCACAGCTGTAGCATTTGGAGACTGCACCATTATTCCCCTAGGTTCTGTAGGCACACATAGCAAGTAAGAAAGCTGCAGTTGCTATGAATCTGCAGACTAAGCAATAAGAGCTCACAGGTGGACACAGCTGGCAGGAGGAGGAAAACAAAATAAAAATAATTGAGATCAACGCAGGAAGTAATCATCATAACATACCAACTAACTGGAAATTACTGAGTTTTATCTAATTTAGGAACAGGTTTGAGAGAGTATACTGGCACGCAGCACATTTGCAGGGGGTGATTATTTTAACATATGCGAAAAGAAACAGGAGAAAACGTATGGCTACTGCTTGAAAAATGGGTCAAAAGGAAACAAATGGCCAAAAAGGATTGGTATGACTTATGGAACAGGTGAACAGATGGGTGGACAAAGAAAAACTGGTTTTCATAGGGTACAGGAAAAGGATTGAGCAGAAGATACAGGTGAATAGTTAAGTAACAATGTGCTTTACATAAATGTCACATCAAAACACAAAAATATAAGGTGTGAAACTTGAATGAATTGTATTTCGGTCTAGAATGCCTGCTATTAGGTAAATAACAGATCATTCTTTCTGTTGTTTGCAGATTGTTTTGCTTGGACTGCAGTTTATCATTTCAGCAAGTACTCAGTGCATAAGACCCACCACCAATATTTTCCCTGCACTTATTTTATCAGGTAGGATAACCCCCATGGAGCTGTTCAAAACAAATTTTATTTCATGTTTGACGTGCCTTCTGCCTTGACTGCTATTAAAACAACGCACAAAATGTTTTTAAGGAACCTAAGGGGAAACAGAGTGTTAGAATTGGAAATAGCACCTGAGGGTCATTTCAATAACGCCCACAGCAGGACAGGATGGCTGCTGATTCCTGGCTAAACAAATGCGGAAATATTATCAAGGATGTTTGCTATACATCTGTGTCAACAGCATCGAACATGTACGAAAAATGTATCCACTCTCAGCCTGCTCCTTGCAGGTCCCCACCCCAACTCCCTACCGTTCCTCCCCATCACGT